ACCAGTCACATTATGCAAAACAAGGTAAACACTGGATAAAAACTCCTACCAGAGCATCGTGACAGCACTTCGGTGCAATCCATTATGATGCTCAACTTGATATGAAGCTTGACTACCTTATCAGTAAAATTGTTCAAGAAAAATCACTATCTGATCTCAACGTCACTTATGTGAACTAGAACGAACATAAATATTACAATCTTTAGCATTTGCCGTTTTAAAAATATCCTATGCAGGATATCTACTTTCAGGTTATCGCTCAAATGTTTTTGACGACAAAAAAAACATCCTTTCATTTTCTTCGTGTATTAAAAAAGCCTCACCACTATATGAATTCTAAAAGAAGAGATGTATCCAAAGAACATCATTAATTTACAAGTATAAATTTCATTTTGTAGATACACTATCACAAAGAACATATTTTTGGGATACCGCTGTCTCATGTTGATGAGAATACAGCCGCAATCTAGTAAAAATCAGTCCAAACGAATATAAGTAAAATCGTCTGACAAATTACCCTGCCTTAGTGCCATCTTTAAAAAAAGTTTTTACCGGAAACCTTTCGCGCTATAGCTCGGAACCCTATTACAGATTTTTAATTCAAAGAATTTACTCTAAATCAGAAATTGAAGAATTCCCCACAAAATTGGACACCAATTGGACACCATGGATAACCTATAGATCAAAATCTTCGAAAACTAGCTGAAACACCCAGTTTCGCCGATATCTATAAAAAAATTACAGTGGATATTTTAAAGAAATCAAAAACTATATTTATCTCAGCGGTGGAAAATAACACCCATAAGATTTCTCACTAATTTATTTTCTTACACAGAAAAAATGAACTCCTCGCATTTCCAGGATGGCCCCAATTTATCCTAGAAAGATATACGCAATCTTTAGTTTCTCAGAACTTTCGTTTTGATACCAAAAAGGAATAGTTAGCCCATGTACAACACACACACACACACACACACACACACACACACACCAATAGATAGACAAGCTGGCGTAGGTTTTGTTGAAACTTTCTCCATATCAATTAATAAAAAAAATTTCAGATGCGCAAGCTAGCGAACAAAAAAAAGGTATCAACAAAAGCAAACACAACTGATACTCCACAAGACAATACAATTTCTATACACTCAGAGTCATCACCTTTACACAAAAAAAAACAGATTCGTAATCTATGATAAGTACACAAATTTATAGAATCACATTCTCCTTAGCATCACGCATACAACAAACATACGAACAAATAAAAGGACAATCATATAATATACATTTTCGTTCTCAAAAAAACTATCTTTTTAGCTCACGATGATTCGCCAGGTTATATCACTGAATCGTGATTTTTCTAATCCCTCCCACCTCTAACGACAATTCTCTCTCATACCCAACTCAGACCTTACCTTTTCAGCCCTTTTTTATACCTTTTCATCTACCTCACCTCATATGCACTCTGATGATTCAATACAGTGTTTTTGACCCCCGCTCCGATTTAATTAAGCCTGTCCTGAGTTAAGTTTGTGTGGGTGTATGTAAGCTTGGTTTTTAGTATGACTCCGTGTTAATGCCACGCTCCTTAGGAATGAGGAAAATAAAATTTACTGGAAGTGATCAAATTTGCTTAAATATGATTCGTAAGGTTTGGGTGTTTTAAAATATAAATACACCTGACAAACTTCTGGATTCCGAACCAAGCCCTACTAATATCTCACTTTCAATCTTTGTCCCAATAACCCAAAAACTACCCTACTCCTACTACCCATAGTACTCTCCACGTCCAGCTCTTCGCACACCGACGCTACTCCTATTTTTTCTCCTCTTTTTAGTCATGTCCCCGATACCCCAACGCATGACTGATGAACAACTTGAGCATGATCTCGATGATTTCATACACAACCAGCAACAAATTCACAACACTAAGCATCAAAACACGATCCATAAGTTCACCGACTCCGCTTCCACTTCAGAATCATCAACATCATCCATCCGCAACGTTCCCACTCGCGTACAACCCATACTCATGAAAAGAAAGTATCCCATTAACCCATCAAGATATTTACTTAACCCCGTCTTGTTCGAACTAACCATCCTCGTCATACTATCACACCACAATTTTTAGTCAAAAACTTTTTTTTTCTCCCAATATGCATTTGACAAAATAGAAGCCCAGTCTCAACGTAACACCTATGTCGACAATTTTTCCGTTCTCCTCACACTCTGCTGGATATATTTATATAACTTTACCAACCACACATAAACTCCACTTAAAAACACCGATGACAATGAAATTTGTGACACTATCAAGCACCAACTCACCACTGCAATACATGTCAATCAATTAACTAAGATTGGAGTCTAACAAACACTTAACCGCTTCATTGCACGCAAATCTAATAAGTTTTCTATCATGTAATATAAACACGCAGCCTCCCGCTTCATGAATTTTTCACCATAAGACACAGACCCCGCAATAAATTGCCAAGTAACCGAACATTTTTTTATGAAAATGGACTACATATTTGATTTAAATAGTACTGATAAAAATTTTGATCACATTATCGACCATCCACTTCAAAACACCAAAGCTTACAAATCATGTTTTCGCAAATTAGACCACTTCCAGCTAACTTTTAACTTCCTCATTCCTAAGAGGCGTGACATTAACTGCTCGAACTTAAGCTAAAAACTAAGCTTACACACACCCACACAAACTACCGACTCATCCAACGTCATTTTCTCAATCGCTTCCCATCCCAAAAACCCCATCACTACCACATATTTTATAATTCCAAATAAATCTTACCCTGTTTTCTTAACTTCATGTATTGTTATAAATCAAACAAATTTTACCGCATCCTCCGAAATTATGATCGCGTCCGCCAATTTTATATATTTTGTCTCCTCACGGAGAACTTGATTCTTGAAGATTCCCGCCCCATTATCATCCCTTATTAGTATATCCAACCAATTGAAACCTCCCTTTTATAAAATATCATTAAATAAATTTAATCACAAACTAAATACTAACCATGAATTTTGTGCCACTAGTGAAGAAGTCAACATCATCCGCGCACTTGAAGTCTTTTGGCGTTTTTCACCTACTAAAATTATCATTCGAATGTTCGCAAAACTGTCAACGCATTCACAACAACAAAAACTAACTTCCCCAATAGATTTTGTTTCGGAATCCGACCCTCAGTAAGTATGAATTTATAATTTTCACTATCTATTTTTCAAAGTTCAACTCACCATAATTTCACGTGTGTCTCACCTTTCTTTTTTGGATTTCACCATAGTTTCTCTGAAAGCAATGTAAACAAACAAATCAAAACTGAAACTTTTCAAAGCTTTATGAAACTTTTGCTTACAAATGCTAAATCATAGTTCTAAATTGACAAAGTGCAATAAAATTTGTCGCAGCTTTGAAACAAAATAATTAGGCTATAAATTCTCAATACGACGTATTGATTTATTAATGAATGATATATTTAGATAACAACTAGTTTTTTAACCTATACTAAATTTCGTAATTCTTACGCTTCCGCTTGACTTGCCCCTATTTCACGCACTCTTTTCACGCAATTCAAGGCAACTTGCCAATATAAATGATTTTCTACTTGGACAAATAAGATGTAAATAACAACATTAACTCGCTTTCACACGTTTCAAGTTTCCCTTAACCCAGTTGGAAGGACGAATTAAAGCAAAGCTTAAATAACCAACGCCGCGTAATAACACCACTTTACCAATCACATTTACAGGAAAGTCTCAAGGAACCCAAACCAGATTAAACCCAGATTAAACTTGATGAAAAATTCTTTTTAACGTTATTTTATAGTTTTATTAAGGTCTTATGAAACGCTATGATAAACTCAAAGATAACACAATTCAAAAACAGTCCCTTTTTAAGAAAAGGAAACAACCGAAAAGAAAACAAAAAGGAAAACACCTGATCAAAAACAAAAGAAATTTTATACACAAATGAAGACTCTACTCAAAGAGACGGTAAAATTAAACTCCAACTGGCGTCACTCACCAGTAAAGGACATCCTGAGCATGCTCTATAGCTGCCTCAACCACCGCACTACATCTACGCCTAAGACAAAACTCTCACATTATTTTGACGAGAGTAGCTCCAGTGTGAGCAACGCTTTAATTTAATCGAAAAATATAAAAAAAGATTTGCGAAAATAACTAACAAAGATCATAACTAAAACTGAACTTTTTGAAGAAGGCGTAGGTTAACTCAATTTTGAACTCAGAAAAACGGATCCATGCCACTTGGCGCTTCACTTAGAGAACTCAAACCCTATCTCATTATTTGATAAATGGTTGAGAATGCACGTAGTCTTGCTCTACTTAACAGAACCGACACATCACTGTATCAATCTGCAATCTTGACAAGATTTCCAAACTCACTTGCAAAATACGCAATCCTTTTTTTCTTCACGAAGACAAATTTTTCACAAGGTCGAGTAGCTGTAACTCTTCTCTTCACTCTTTTCAAAGAATCTACTCGAAGAAGTATAAATAATTTTCTGCATACACCCTTCACTCGAACAAACAAACAAACTCAAAACAAAAAACTTCCCTAAACCCGGATCGGTGGAACCAATTCAAAAGAAGTATTTAATATATCCATTTATATTATTGATAACTATCACTGTAAAATACTTAGAACTAACCAATCATGATCCATGACTAAAACATTTGTAAGGCTGAAATTGTTTATAGTTTCAGCCAGAGAAGAATAAATTTAACTTAGCAAACAGTTGCTCTTACTTGCTTCTAACCTCGCGAGAATACCAGTTCATACTTGATCTATTGAGTTTAGGAAATAAAGAGTAAGATTAGGATCGGTATTAGACTAAGAAGTTGCACGAATCTATCTGGCCGAAACTAAGATAGCGTGACGAATAGACGGTGAACCTTATCCGAAGTTCTGTATGAGAAAGCCGCCCCGGACTTAACTCTCTTGTTCATGACTTCAGACCCTGGTTCGAGTTCGTGGACTTTCACTGCACAGAGCCGCACAACTTCATCTGCGAGTTCAACCCTTCCAGTGACAAATCCTTCACTCATGTTAGTCACAGATCAATTTATTTTTCCCTTTCTCTCGCTTGATATTACAATAGGGGCTGAAGGAGAAGTAGAATATCAAATCTCGCTTGCAGAATATCAAAATGAAACAGAGTGATTTAAATTTCGTAAAAATGAAGTCAAGTATCTAGTGTTGCGAGTTTGAGTAGATTCATGATTGACCACTTTCGACTAACAATTTAACCCCGTTTGACTCATGGTTTGACCTCGCTCGGCCCATAATTTGACCCTGTTTGACCCATGATTCGACCCTTTTCGACTAACGATTCGACGCTGTTAACTCATGCTTCGACCCTGTTCGACTCATGTTTCGACCCTGTTCGATTTAGGATTCGACGCTGTTCACTCATGATTCGACTCTGTTTGACTCATGTTTCGACCATGTTCGACTTAGGAGTCGACCCTATTCGACCATGATTCGACCCTATTCGACTCATGATTCGACTCTGTTCGACTCACGATTAGACCCTGTTCGACTCATGCTTCGACCCTGTTCGACTCATGATTCGACCCTGTTCGACTCATGAGTCGACTTTGTTCCACCCATGAATCGGCCCTGTTTGACTCATGAGTCGACTGTGTTCGACTGTGGTGTTCGTTCGACCGTCTTAATTTGCGACTAAAATCGGACTGCGTTCGACCGTGTCGGTCGAATCAAGAGTCGAACACCTCAGCCGGGAATACAGAGACAAAAAAGTTGCACCAAAATCAGAGGTAGAGATTGTCCCCGAAAAATTTTATGGTTTTGCCAACTGGGCACTTGTATTACCGTTTTGTATTCGCATGGATCATTAGTGTCATCATTTTTACTATGATTGTCCCTGTTTCTCTATGAAATCATTTCAACTTTAATTTCTTAGTTTTTTTTCGAACAATGCGTTGTAGAATTCAGTTTAAGCACGATGTAAAGTTGGAAGATAATTGGGAGAAATGTTAAGTTTGATTAACCCATCCCGAGTCGAGATTTTTCACCTAATTTGAAGCAAGATTTGAGCGGTTTGAGCAATTTTTTTAGACAATTACGCTCAAAATCTTGCTTCAAAATGAGCGGTTTGAGCGGTTTTTGAACGGTTTATCTAATAAAAACCGCTCAAAAACCGCGCAAGATTTGAACGGTTTTGAGCGGTTTATCTAAAAAAAAACCGCGCAAAAACCGCGCAAGATTTGAGCGGTTTTTGAGCGGTTTATCTTAAAAAAAAACGTTCAAATCTTGCACGGTTTTAAAGCGTTCGTTTTTTTTTTAGATAAACCGCTCAAAACCGTTCAAATCTTGCGCGGTTTTTGAGCGCTTTTTTTTAGATAAACCGTTCAAAAACCGCTCAAATCGCTCATTTTGAAGCAAGATTTTGAGCGTAATTGTCTAAAAAAACCGCTCAAACCGCTCAAATCTTGCTTCAAATTTCAACTGCATCTTAGCGTGGGTTGACCAAAAATGCTTATCCTGCAATTTCCATATATGATAAAACGCCTCCCTAGTCGATCAAGGGAGGTTATCTTGCAAGAGCTTGCAAGAAAATTGCAAGATTCTTTTAGAGAGGATGCATCTCTTTAAAAGGTCTTGCAAGATTTTGCAAGATAACCTCCTTTAAAGATAACCTTTTTTGCAAGATCTTTAAAGATACAATTTTTTGGGGCAAAAACAGCTTTACACGCGAAGACAACCAAGTAGCGTTCGTGGAAGAAGGAAGCAATCTTAGCTACGCATACATACACACAGCTTTTGATTTTTTGATCTTACACCTAGTTCCTGTTCTTTGTTTTAAAGTTTTTCGACAGAAATTTTGGGATGGTTATCTCGCAAGATTCTTGCAAGATTCTTGCAAGATAGCCTCCCTTTTTCAAGATTCTTGCAAGATAACCCTCTTTTGCAAGAATCTTGCAAGATCTTGCAAGATAACCTCACTTGATCGACTAGGGTTATCCTACAATTTCCTACAGTTTCATAGACTCAGAAAATTGTTTAAAAATCTCTAGGATGAGCGTTTTTTCATAAATGAAAATTGCAGGATTAACATTTTTTCATATATGGAAATTGTATGATAAACATTTTTCTTAAATGGAAATTGTAGGATAAACATTTCTTTTCAAAAAAAAAAAACAAACTCAGTTATTTTTCATCAACACTTGTTTTCATTGTTAACATCATTGTCGGTTCAAATAGCCGAGGAAACTAGGTTGAATCTTTTTTCATTGGTATTTTGAAATTGTATGAAAATGGTATGAATAGCATTTTTCCATACATGTGATGCAGGCAAATGTATGATAAGCATTTTCGGTGTGGGGAAATGTAAGATAAGCAATTTCGGTTCATGGAGGTCAATCCGGGGTCACATTACCTTTCGAGGCCTTTTTGTTGATTTTAATCGGTTTTCTTTATAAGATCGCTCAAAATCCGCTTAAAAACCGCTCAAATCTTGCTTGAAAAACCGCTCAAAAATCACCGCAAGAAATGAGCGATTTTCGAGCGGTTTTCGAGCGGTTTTTCAAGCAAGATTTGAGCGGTTTGAGCGGTTTTTCCGAAAAAACCGTCCAAACAGCCCAAACCGCTCAAATCTTGCTGAAAAACCGCTCAAACCGCTCATATCTTGAGCGGTCTTTGAGCGGGATCTCGACCCGGGTAATTACAAACAAGTAACTTGAAACTTTAGGCCATTTTCTTGAACTGTTCTTGATTAAGTTGAATAGCATTCATTTCATCATGCAGGAGCATCGTCATCCTTGAAAGCCTTAAATAACAAAAATTAAAATAAGCTCATTTTTGCAGGTTGCTGTTACTACTATCGGTAATCTTCTTGTTAATATCAGTAAGGCTTTGGTTAATAGAGACGTTGTTTTCATGCTAAATAAACATTTACCAAAAAACTTCTTTCGAGCTGCCTTGACCGCACAAGCACACTCTCGAGTACCCTCCTGTGTAAGATGAATCACATCGTCTGCGTAATGGCAGCTTTTCCTCAGTCTTAGTGGCGTGTCGAAATAATTGACAGAAGATATTTGTAAGAGCTGGCGGAGCTCGTCGACTTTCTGGTTAGGATATTTGTGATTGCCAGCAAAGACTGGCACTGCCCACAGGTATTTTGAGAACCGTAGCAAAATACCCATAATTGCAACGTCGATATAGTTAGGGAAGTTTTTGATCTGCTCGATTACTGTTGTTAACCGAGATAAGACTTTTTGGTCATTCTGACGATCTGGGTTAACTCGATACACCGAAAATGCTTATCATACAATTCCATAAAACAAAAATCTTTATCTTACAAACCCATACATCAAGTGTATGGAGAAAATGCTTGTCATACAGTTTTCAAACATTTTCGAAAAACAATAGAAAAAAATTAAACCATTTGTTATACCCACGGATTCGGAGTATATAGGTTAGATCTGAGTTGAGACATAATGTGTGAAAGAAATAGGAATTAAGAAGAAATTGTTACCAACTTAAATTCAATCGATAATGTTATGTCTGATTCGAATCTGACCTCGAAATCATGAGAGCGACAGAGACTCATAAATAATTATTGAATATGGTGTTAGGTTCAATAGGTACTTAATTTAGATCAGACATCTATATGATTACGTTTGCATAACGTTAGAACTATAAACAATCTAAGTTATATCTGAGTTTCGTTATACTGAGTTCTAATGGATATCCAGTATATCCGTACGGATAACATTCCCCCTTCTTTTATATGATGAGCACATCATATGTTCTCCTTTTCTTAGTCCTGATCCTCCCTCGGTAGAGGTGACGTCTAGGGGCGTTAGTTTCAGCCAAGGTTTGTGCTGTTTGTTGGGCTATTGATTCGCTGCTTTTCGCCGCCTTTGTGTATTTTATGGGGCATTTAGGGCGATCTTGTCTCTCGCATTCTCGTCTCTCGCAAAACAAAAATCTTTATCATACAAACCCATACATCAAGTGTATGGAGAAAATGCTTGTCATACAGTTTTCATACATTTTCGAAAAACAATAGAAAAAAATTAAACCATTTGTTATACCCACGGATTCGGAGTATATAGGTTAGATCTGAGTTGAGACATAATGTGTGAAAGAAATAGGAATTAAGAAGAGTTTGTTACCAACTTAAATTCAATCGATAATGTTATGTCTGATTCGAATCTGACCTCGAAATCATGAGAGCGACAGAGACTCATAAATAATTATTGAATATGGTGTTAGGTTCAATAGGTACTTAATTAAGATCAGACATCTATATGATTACGTTTGCATAACGTTAGAACTATAAACAATCTAAGTTATATCTGAGTTTCGTTATACTGAGTTCTAATGGATATCCAGTATATCCGTACGAATAACATTCCCCCTTCTTTTATATGATGAGCACATCATATGTTCTCCTTTTCTTTGTCCTGATCCTCCCTTGGTAGAGGTGACGTCTGGGGGGGCGTTGGTTTCAGCCAAGGTTTGTGCTGTTTGTTGGGCTATTGATTCGCTGCTTTTCGCCGCTTTTGTGTATTTTATGGGGCATTTAGGGCGATCTTGTCTCTCGCATTCTCGTTGAAATGTCATGGAATTTTTCGTCGGCAAAATGGATTTTAGGATTTTCATTGCGTCATTGACCAGTTGGTCGATCAATGACGTAACGTGAACTAATCGCTCGTGGGTTTGGGCTTTGTGGTGATCCGGATTGTTTTGATGTAGCTATCGACGTAACAAACTTATCACTCGGGTTATCCTGTTGTGGAATTGCGTTTGTGGTCGTCATTGTCGGAATACACAGTGCGTCTTTTGGACTGGCTGTGTCGCGTATTGAATTGAGATAGCCCTCTGTCCAGTCATTGGTTTTTTCAATCCTTAATTGTTCTGGCGTTTCGTCATTTGCGTTGATATCGATGCAATCGATATCTGTCGACGATTCGTGAGTCGTGCCCGTTGCCTGGACCATTGATCCGCCATTTTGATTATTCCCACGTTGCATCATTATGTGACAAACCTCGTTGTCCGCAGTGGTATCATTGGCAAT